CCAGCAGCAGGGCCTGGGCAGGGATCCCCAGCAGGAATTTTGGGGTGGGGGACAAGCCCATGTGCTCTGGGGGAAGCTCAGGAGGTGTCTGGAGTGTCCTGGAACTGGAGCACACTCACAGGTGCCATCTCATCTGTCCACTCCCCATGACCAGGTTGGAAGCGCTTCACCGTTTCCATATCATCTATCACCCGGACCACATCACCAACCCAAAACGTGTTGAGCTACAAGAAAAAGAAAGTCATAAGCGTCTGGGGGATGAAGCAATGCACACACACACACAGAGACAAAAAATTAACAGTGATCAGCCCCCTCCACCCCACTCCCAAAAATCCCAACAAACAAGACGCCCACCGACTCAAAAAACAGAATTGCAAAACATAAATGCAGTACCAAGACAATAAACACAACCCAATTCTCTTTTAAGCCAAGTGCACATTTAAGTAGGGAAATAATTTGGAACAGTTGTTCCAATAATTTGGAACAGCTTCCTAATTTTTTTTTTTTTTTGGTTTATTATTAATACCAGATAAAGCATGGAAGCTTTCTTGGTCCACCCCCTCCTTACACCTGGCTTGGCCCTGGAGATTTTAATTCGCTCTAATAAGGAAGTTCAATGTTTGTTATTTAAAAGAGAAAAGGCAAAGCAGGGTTTATCTGTGCTGGGAATTTGCCAGATGCTCCCTCTGCTCACTGAGCCAGGGAGGGAGCAGTGTCAAAACAGAATTTTCAGAGCAGACTGATTTTGTGCAAAACACTCTGACACTGCATTTTCCACTGGTATTGAGAGTTTTTACCATTCTGACCTTGCTCAGGTCAGAATTTTGTGGTCTTCCAGCAGCTTCTTCTATTCCTAATTATCTCTATTTCTAATTATCCACTTCTCAAAGTCCTCAAACCTCTGGGGAAGGCCAGAGCTGTGAGCTTTAGAAATGCAGCCACAAAATTAGAAGGGCTGGATTAAAGACTGGGGAAGAAATCAAAGAGAAGTGAGACAAAGATGTAAAAAAGAACAACGTGGAGACAAAAAAGGAAGAACACAAAAAAANCCAGGTAAGAACTCCTGGGTTTTGCCCCCACCCCAAGAGCTGCCCCAAAGATCTCCAGCCCTGTCTGCCCCTCACTTTTGGGCTCCTTGGCGCTCTCTGTGGTCATCAGGTTGGCCTCCTCCTCCCGCTGGTAGGCCGTCAGGCAGGCAGGGTTGAAGGTCCAGGACTGTCCCCCCACTGACACTCGCAGATCTCCATCCCCATAGACCTTGATCACCTTCCCAATGTGCCCCAGGGTCTGCAAAGAAAAAAATAAATATATTTTTTGCAAAAATTCCCAGAGCCAAAACCAGGGGTTTTTTTTTAGGGTTTACTTTTTGGTAAAGCTGCAGCTCCTGCTGTGTGAAAAGAAGCACTGGACAAGTGACACATTCACAGACAGCTCCCACCTCGAGGACACCAAAAGGTTCTCAGCAGCTTCTGTCTCACTGCTCTGCCATGGAAGGGTTTTCCAGACACACTGGAAATGGCTGGGAGGGAGGTGCTGAGAAGAACTGATCAAACTGGGATTGGGGATGGCTCCTCTGGGATTTAATGTTCTTGGAGGAACCTGAGAAGAACTGGTCAAACTGGGATTGGGGATGGTTCCCCTGGGTTTGAATGTTCCTGGAGGAACCTGAGAAGAACTGGTCAAACTGGGACTGGGAATGGTTCCTCTGGGATTTAATATTCCTGGAGGAACTTGAGAAGAACTGGTTGGACTGGGAATGGTTCCTCTGGGCTTTAACTGCTCCTGGAGGAACCTGGACCCCAATTTTAGCCATACTGGGCTGATTTTTCCACCTCCCTGCCTCATTCCAGAGAGCCAAAGAGGACTTTGGTGATGGAAACCTCTCCCATGAGTTGGTGGCAGCCAAATCCTTTTTGCTGGATTCTCCCTTGTCCATGGAAGGGTTTTCCAGACACACTGGAAATGGCTGGGAGGGAGGTGCTGAGAAGAACTGGTCAAACTGGGACTGGGGATGGTTCCTCTGGGATTTAATATTCCTGGAGGAACCTGAGGAGAACTGATCAAACTGGGATTGGGGACAGGTTCCTCTGGGATTTAACTGTTCCTGGAGGAACCTGAGAAGAACTGGTCAAACTGGGATTGGGGATGGTTCCTCTGGGATTTAATGTTCCTGGAGGAACCTGAGAAGAACTGGNAAACTGGGATTGGGGATGGTTCCTCTGGGATTTAATGTTCCTGGAGGAACCTGAGAAGAACTGGTCAAACTGGGATTGGGGATGGTTCCTCTGGGTTTGAATGTTCCTGGAGGAACCTGAGAAGAAAAAAGTTAAAGCTTCCTTTGAGCTTTAACTGCTCCTGAAGGAACCTGAGAAGAACTGGTCAAACTGGGACTGGAGATGGTTCCTCTGGGATTTAATGTTCCTGGAGGAACCTGAGAAGAACTGGTCAAACTGGGATTGGAGATGCTTGCTTTGAGCTTAAACACCCTGGAGGAACCTGCACCCCAATTTTAGCCACACTGGGCTGATTTTTCCACCTCCCTGCCTCATTCCAGAGAGCCAAAGAGGACTTTGGAGATGGAAACCTCTCCCATGAGTTGGTGGCAGCCAAATCCTTTTTGCTGGATTCCCCCTTGTCCATGGAAGGGTTTTCCAGACACACTGGAAATGGCTGGGAGGGAGGTGCTGAGAAGAACTGGTCAAACTGGGATTGGGAATGGTTCCTCTGGGATTTAACTGCTCCTGGAGGAACCTGAGAAGAACTGGTCAAACTGGGATTGGGAATGGTTCCTCTGGGTTTGAATGTTCCTGGAGGAACCTGAGGATAACTGGTCAAACTGGGACTGGGGATGGTTCCTCTGGGATTTAATGTTCCTGGAGGAACCTGAGAAGAACTGGTCAAACTGGGACTGGGAATGGTTCCTCTGAGCTTTAACTGCTCCTGGAGGAACCTGCACCCCAATTTTAGCCACGCTGGGCTGATTTTTCCACCTCCCTGCCTCATTCCAGAGAGCCAAAGAGGACTTTGGAGATGGAAACCTCTCCCATGAGTTGGTGGCAACCAAATCCTTTTTGTTGGATTCTCCCTTGTCCGTGGAAGGGTTTTCCAGACACACTGGAAATGGCTGGGAGGGAGGTGCTGAGAAAAACTGGTCAAACTGGGACTGGGGATGGTTCCTCTGGGATTTAACTGCTCCTGGAGGAACCTGAGAAGAACTGATCAAACTGGGACTGAGCTTTAACTGCTCCTGGAGGAACCTGAATGGAACCTGCACCCCAATTTTAGCCACGCTGGGCTGATTTTTCCACCTCCCTGCCTCATTCCAGAGAGCCAAAGAGGACTTTGGTGATGGAACCTCTCCCATGGGTTGGTGGCAGCCAAATCCTTTTTGTTGGACTCCCCCTTGTCCC